TGGGGGAGATCGCATTCCGTTTTTCTCGCACCCTAGCGGGGGCCTCCAGGTGGAAGGGCCCCTGCACCAGAGTGCTGGGGTCACGGCACAGGGTTGCCGTGGCATAGGATGCTCCTTCGGCCTGGGGGTTTCCCTAGTCTGCCCCACTGCCGCCCGTGCCTTTGTCCATCCATCCTCAGCCTCGGGCCCAGCCTCCCGCCAGCTCTTGTGCGCGCGCCGTTTCTGCCGCCCCTGCCGCCGCTATGGTGAAGAGCAAGGTGGGGCCGTACCAGGTGTGCGCGACCGAGGGCCGCCGTGGCTGGATCTCCCTCTCGAGGTTCAAGGAGGGGGACGAGGACATGCTGGCGTGCAAGCACTGCAGGAACACGTTCGACCCGCCGCAAGAGGCACTGGGGGCCATCAGGGAGGCCCGCGCCGCCCGCGCTGCCGCCGTCCTCCAGCTTGTCCCCGCTGGGGTTCTTCCCGGGCCAGTTGCTCCAGGACTCGCGGGGCCTGCCGTTCCCAAACCCTCAGCCAAGCGTGAGCTGCCGCTGTCGGTCAAAGGATCGGCACCGCCTCCTCTCCCTGACCCCAATCTCTCGGGCCCTCCCGTACCTTCCCCCCCCCTGCTTTGCTCCGCGGGCAGGAGCTGTCCATCCAGGCCCTGGAACCTCAGGGGCTGGAGGCGCCACCCAAGGTCCGCCCCCCTGTCAGGGCGCCGCGGCAGGGCAAGGGGGCTGCAAAAGGCCTCCTCTTGGAGGCCGCCGCTGCCCAAGGCGCCGCCGCCTGCCAGGCAGCTGGCGGCCAGGGGGAAGGGCCGCGGGGAGGGCCGCGCCAGGGCGAAGCGCCCGCGGCGCACCCAGAGCGCGGTTGCGCCGCGGCTGCGCATTCGGGTGGCCCTCTTGAAGGCGGCGAATCGCACCCTGAAGGGGCGGGGGCGCCACTTCAGGGAGAGGGCCGCCCATGCGTGGAAGGAAGTCCGCTGGGCCCACCGCCGCGTTCAGGGGGGGAAGGAGAGGAGGGCCAAGCCCCCCCCCCCCCCCCCTCTTCGTCCGACCCTGACGTGGGGTAGGCAGCTGCAGGGGGATCTGTCAGAGGACAGTCAGCAGCATCGGATAACAGCAGGATTACAGTTTCGGATAAGAGCAGCACCAGCGGCTTCCTCTCCCAGTCTCCACATCCCACCCTGTCCTGGGACCAGCCTAGGCAAGACTTGGGGTTGGGGCTTCGGCGGCGCTTACTCTGCTCTTTCCCTCTTTCCTCCCTCTGCCTCGGCCTTCCTTCTTCTCCGTAAGCGTCGCCTAAGCCTCCCGATTATAAAAGTTGTTGTCGCTCTCTGCTCCTAGGGTGGACTTGTGACACAGCAGGGCGTCAGTGCATCAGAGGAGGAGGGCGTAGGAGTGGTGGCGTGGGGTGGGGTATGAAGAGGATGATGATGATCATGATGATAATGATGATGACGGTGCTGCTGGTGATGATGACGAGGATGAGGAGGAGGAGGAGGAGGTGCAGAAGGAGGGGCACGCAAGGTGCGGTGGATGGGGAAGAAGAGTTTGAGGATGAGGATGCGGATGAGGATGTTGCAGATGATGATGCTGATGATGCTGCTGAGGATGCTGAGGATGCGGGTGCTGCTGACGATGGTGGTGATTACGATGCTGCTGATGATGATGATGGCTATGCTGATGCTGCTGATGACGATGGTGGTGGTGATGGTGTTGTTGATGGTGATGATAATGTTGATGTTGATGATCATGCTGCTGCTGATGCTGATGATGTTGATTCTGATGGTGATGATCACGATGCGGATGGTGCAGCTGGTTGCTGATGATGATGCCGGTGATGATGCTGATGTTGCTGACGATGAGGCTGGTGATGCTGCTGATGCTGCTGCTGATGTTGCTTCTGCTTATGTTGCTGCTGATGCGGCGTCTGATGATGCTGACGATGGTGATGCTGATGATGATGATGATGATGATGATAGTGCTGCTGATGCTCATGATTATGACGATGATGATGGTACTGATGCTGCTGATGGTGGTGATGACGATCATGAAGATGCTGATGGTGCTGCTGATGCTGATGATGCTGATGTTGCTGACGGTGGTGGTGATGGTGATGATGTTGTCGATGGTGATGATGACGATGAAGATGATGATGTCGGTGGTGGTGTTGATGATGCTGATGATGATGCTGATGATGATGATGATGATGCTGAGGAGGAGGAGGAAAAAAGGAGGGGGCGGACGAACAACAGGAGGAGGACGGAGGAGGAGGATGAGGAGGAAGTGGAGGAGGAGGCAGAGGAGGAGGAGGAGGTGGACGGAAGAGGAGGGGGAGGGGGAGGAAGAGGGTGATGCTGGTACCGATGATGATGACGATGGCGATGATGATGATGATGATGATGATGATGTTGATGATGATGATGCTGATTAGGATGCTGCTGCTGATGATGGTGATGCGAATGATGATGAGGATGACGATGGTGTTGATGCTGATGATGATGGTGGTGATGATGTTG